TGCCGAAGCTCCATTTAAATTCAGACTAGCTTGAAACTACATTCTGTTCTGAATGTAAAATGTTTCAAAGGCGATTAAGCAATCAAAGTGAGCGTTGCATCTAATCATTCATTTATAAACAACAATAAAAAGTCGTTGCTAAGGCATTGCCTTACGCTCGCATTATTTCTTCATTTGTTCAAAATTCACAATTTTCACTTTTTAGGTTAAACCAGTGCTTCACGTCTCCTTCGGAGAGGTTCGCACTGTTCATGTCTCAAAGAATTAAATTTATTGGTGTTACAAAATTAGCCAAAAAAATTCTCTTAGTTCATTTCAAACTATCAAAAATGCACTTTCTACGAAACTGTTGGAAGTTCGATCTCACCTCTCAACGCTTTCTTGAAGGGGTGACGCGCAGGCCATCTATCCCGACCGTAGAGCCCTTCCATAAACACGAAATGAACAACCAACTTACCACATTTTCGCAACAAAATTGCTCATGCTTACTTTGTGTTCTACATTTAACATGATAGTGATTGATAACCGCTTTTTGATTTTCTTAGGACAAATGAACTAATTTCGTGACAGACAGAGAAACACACACACACACGCACACATACAGACAAATTAGCGCTTTATTATAAGTAATGATAATGGTTGAGCGAAAGAATGAATGAACTAATGAATAAATCAATGATTAAAGGCATGTAACAAATGCAAACGCGAGTATGTGAGGAATTCATCTCAAATATAAAGTCGTAGCGTGATAAATCGCCGCATGATAAAACGTGATGGCTTTTTCAGAAGCAAAGAAGCATATTCTTTGTCATAGAAGCGAGGCACTGTAACTGTTGTTGTCTAGCCATCTGTGATGCTACTATGTATCATTTGTGTACTAAGCTTCATCACTACGCCTACACTTGATTTATAGTTTTAAGCTCAACCTCGCTTTCGTAAGTGTAAAAGTTATTTGAAATTGCCGGTTTTACAACGATGTCTGTTCAGCAGTGCTAAGAGCATACATTTTTGTTGCTATAAACGAAAAAAATACTTTGTAGTGCATTTCAGGTTAGTTCAGTATTCCTTCTTCCATCGATTATTCATTTGCTGTGCTTACTTAAGATTGAAAGTCCATACGGTAACAAAACAACAAAGAATATCTTAAGCGTTTCATTACAATATATTCAATTGTTTGGACAGAAGATAGTGTTTTGAAAGGTAATACGTCGATTGTGAATAATAATCTCATTTCTTATTCGTGCATTGGGGTGGAACAAGCGCTTCGAAATAATTTAACGTGTTGTTCATGTGTAGCGCTGTAATTAAGATGACGACCAGAAATACTTGGCAAAGAATGAAAATAAATATTGCCATTGCCTGTAGGCAGATGTAATGCTGAAAAAATGTAGTTTCACTTTACAGTCGTAGAGATTCCAATCCTCTAAAAATAAACAAATTACCAGGTCTTTTCGTTTTCGTGGACATGAAGCTTCTGGAGTTGCTTTCGTCTTTCCTGAAAGCGAATGGCTACTGAAATCAAAGCAATCACCAACCGCTAATGTACCTGTTTTCTCTGATCGAAGGTCGACTTCATCGCCGCACCTAAACAAAATAGCATTTTTCAAACTTAGGAAACTCAATTATACATCCCAGCTACCTTAAAGGAGCACGTTCGTTCATATATGGTTTCCATTCATCTTCCTTCGGTCTATTAGGCGCTTCTGGTT